CCCACCGCACTCGCCTCCACTGCCTACACTGCTCTCGCACCTTCCGGCATCGTATGGGCCTATTCGGCCACATGCGCATCCACGACAGCGGAATTGACCGCACTCCCGACACACCCACCACATCCAACACATCCACCATGCCCAGCCCCACGCTCGCTCCGTTGCCCTGCGCGCCCATCACCACCACCACCACCACCACCAACTCCTCTGTAGCTGACACTGACACCGCCGAATTCTCATGTCCACACTGTCCACTTACATTCACCTCACGCATCGGCCTGGTCGGTCACTTGCGAATCCATCGCACAGAGACTGGCGAACCAGTGCCTGGAGCACTAACCTATACCCACCAAGCTCGACTCAACTGCCCACACTGTCCTCGCACCTTCAGGCACCGCATGGGCCTATTCGGCCAAATGCGCATCCACGACGACCTGCGGTAGACAACCGCCGGCCACACCACACATTCACTCACTCCCTACCTTCCTCCTCCACCACCACCGCCTTCACCCCGCCACACATCAACACTCACCCACCGCAAGCACCCAACTGCCACCTACCACGCAAGTGGGAAGTGTGCATCTCGACTCGGTCCCCATGCGGCTTCGGCTTCAGGGGTGACTTGAGTCCGAAAATATCCCGACACGCTAAGCGTCGTGGATAGGAAGGTTGCTGATTGACGCCCGCTCTCGGTTCACGCAGTTCGTCGCGTTGTGTGTAGTGGCGGACTGGTGGGTTGGGCGGCGGGCTGAAACAGCACCTTCCACGGCCCTCTCACGCAAGTGAGAGACAAGCCGCTCAACCCCCGTTGTGTGAAATCCTGATGTTTGTGTGTGTATGGGGGGGCCAGGTCGTGCTGTGGCGCACGCAGGCATGGTCAGTCGACCGTGTCAGCCACCGCGCCCATTTCCCACTCCAGTCTACCGGTCGGCTCGGACAGCGGCTGGGGTGTGGGATGGGAAGGGAGAGTGAGGTCGACGACTCAGCGCATTTTCCTCACTATAAACAATCTGACGCGCTTGAAGCTATCACGGTGCGCTAAAAGCCGTGGCTTGGAAGGTTGCCAACTGACGGGGTACCTTGGACCTCCTCCTTAACTGGAGGCGGTCTGAGAGTCAGGCTGCAATGGCTCCTTTTTAATGTGGCCTTTATGGCATTCTCACCACAGCGTGGGATCCGATCCAGGCGTTGGCGGCACGCCCAGGTGCGGCTTTGGCCGTGCCAGCCACCAAATCTCTGTTGTTGGTTGAAATCCTGGTTATTGTTGTGTGGACCAGGGGTGTGGTGGAACGCCAAGGTGAGGATCCGTCCGAGCCATCCACCTGCGGCCTCCCTCGTCTCCGGTCTTCTTGACTCTGTCTTGACACCGGGCCCAGGCGGGGGAGGAGGAGAGAGTGTAGGTAGATGCTACGCAAGTCTACTGGCACTATAAACCCCTGCGTAAGTCACCGTCCCTGCTCCCATTGCTGCTGCAACTGTGGGGCACACGGTGGACATCATCGAAATCGATGGTCGAACTGTCATCTCTGGGTTTTAGCAAGAATGCAGTTCCTCAGCAGATAGTTTGTTTTTGTCATTTCAAGACAAAACCTTTTATCGCCTTGCTCTTATTTTTTTCTAATATCTCAACGAAATCCGCTTCAGTAACTTTGAGTGGATTCCATTTTCGCTATGTACGCTGTTAAGGATGACGAACTAGTGATCATTATCAGGCTCAGCAATTACTTATTGTTCACGATGCATCAGCATCGAGCTCCACGGTACTGATGGGAAACGTTCACAAACGCAACCTTCAGACAACCAGCGTCGTCAGTCGACCTTGGTATTAAGTCAGATAGTTGAAAATACAAACCCTCGAATTGGACATCAATTTCAATTGGGCTAGCGAACGTAAGAGACACGGGTTGATAATTCGAGAAATGTGAAGATCTCACCGGCTCAAGGGAATTGTGCGGCTGACGTTTCGGAGAACTTGGTTGGATCTCTACTATCAAAGGGTTTTGTGCAAAAAATCGACCAGAATTTTAGATAAACGGCTGAATTGGGTGGACTTGGGCTGATCGATTTTTTTTCATCTTTTGCTACTTCGACCTTCGGCTGCTTGTGGATGTTGGCGGCCTCCCGCGATGTGTGTCGGTGGCGCCTGTGCTCCCCTTTTGGAGGAATTAGTCGACGGGCTGTGTTTGCTCAGTATTTTTAAGTCCGTGTGACTGCTTTGTCCTGGTAATGGCGTATGTAGTGACGCGGGACTTTAAAGGCCGCAGGAAGGTTTAGGTGCCTATTGATGGAGTTTGGATCTGAGTACCAAGCCTCAAGTGCAAGAAGTTCTGTCCTTGAAGTCCCCGGCTTAAGTCGGTTGTTCTTTGAAAGTCAAAACTGTGGCCAGTTTCTGCGATGTGAGTCGCAAGTTGGGACTTCGGGTCTAATCTCTGAGTTGCCAGTTTGTGCTCGTCTAGGCTGGTCTGCAAGTTCCATCCGGTTTCCCCAACGTAATTGCAGTCCCATCGTTGCAACGTAGTTGATAGATAACTACTGAGATATCAGTGGCTGGCAGCGTGTCTTTGGTTTACATCAAACGGTGACGAATTGTTTCCTGGTGTCAGTGAGCAATGCCCACTCTGGAGGGTTGCAACAATCGTGAAACCGCCTCGGAGACTCCTTTAATGCAAGGAATAACCCTCCTGATTTCGGTTTGCTGTTCTTGCGGCCGTCGTCGATTAACTCGGAGCTTGCTTTGCTTGATAAAGTAGCTTGGACATCCACTGGCCTGGAAAAGGTCATGAAGGTAGCGGGCCAATGGATACTAAGCTATTCTGCACAAAACACTTTGGTAATGGAGAGCCGGCCAATCCCTCCGAAGTGTCAGCCACACAATTCCTCTGATTCGATGACTTCTTCGCATTTCTCAGAATTTCAACTGGACCTAGCTTATTGTTTGGTGTGCAAATTTTAAGTCCTAGTGACAGAGCCTCTGCTTGCGACTTGTGAAGTTTAATATCAGACAAATTAAGTCTTACTTTGTATGAGTTCAAATTATCGAGAATGTCATTACGTGACTTTCAGTATTGCAGTAGCAGTCAAGTAGGCTTTCCTGTGCGGAAACATACTTTAAGATTTCAATTATAAGCTTTATGGCTTCCGAGAATGCCATATGTGACATGAAAATTTGATTGTATAGGACTTTTTCTGAGAAATGAACGTACAAGATAAACGACAAAAAATTGCTTGAGTCAGCGAAACGCTGCTGTTTTCTTACGTCTCGCGACCACTGGAATAAACGCGCAGTGACGTTAATTAACCAACATCTCAACTAGCAGAAAATGCAGGCGAAGTTTGGTTCTGCAGTCTCACTTGATTGATACTACATGGTTGACTTACCAGAGCAATTTTCGATAACTTGCCTAACTTTGCCACTCGCTGGATTAGGAAGGGAGAAAGAATGCAAATGAGGCCCAAAGCACGCGCAATGAAGCGCGTGTGAACGGATGCTTGGTGTAACCGAAGGTGGTGTGTACACAATCCTCACAACGCAGCCACTCCCTGGATTAAGAGGGTAAGGAGGACACAATCACAACTGGAAGGACACGGAGGGAACCGCGGGTTCATTCGCAGCGTATGGCGCTATAGTTGAACTGACGGAGTTCCAATCCGTCCGAACGATGCCATTAGCAAGCCTACTTAGCCAGTCGCTGGATTAAGATAAGAATGAGGGCGCAAGCAGGGCTCGAAGCACGCGCAGTGAGGCAAATGTGAACTACTACCTGATGTAACAGAGCTTGGTGTGTAAGCCCCCCTTCCCCCCCCTTCGGGGGAGGGGGGGAGGTACATTCACTCACTGGATTTAAATAGTAACGAAGGCGCAAACACATGATGTATGTAAAGTCGGCGTACTTGAACCTATTGAAATTGTCCGCGGACGTTATCCATAGGAAATCAATCAAGTGGGGCTGCGGACCAAACCTCGTCAAAATGCGCTCATTTTGGGTCTAAACATTTTGATACTTCAAAGAATTCCTTTCAGGCGACGCCTCTGAGACCACCGTGATAATATACACTTCTTTATAACTGATGACTTCCTTTATTTCCTCACCAATAAACCTAATTCGTAGTGCATTACAATATCAGACCGCATTAAGTGAAAAACCTGGTCAGTAATTGTCTGTCGTGTTCACAATCTTCACTCTGGTAATTTACGTCCATCCAGCCTTCGTACGAGGACTCGTTGGGTAGATGGGACTATAGGGCAATATAATCATCAACTTCCAGCCTTCCGCTTTGTGTTCCATCAAGTCTTTTTCTTAGGCCTGTTCAAAATTGTTTGCTCACATTTGATTTAAAGTTGTAGACAACAGATCTCTGCAAGGACTAAACGAAACAGATTCAACAAATAACCCACTGTACTCTTTGAATCAGCCTCCAAAGTACGTAAAGGCAAAGTTTTGTTCCAGGCAGAAGTAGTGGTGTAATCGTGCGAAGATTTCAATAACGCAGCAACGAAAATTCCCTACATACGATAACCTTCTTCAATGTCAGCATGCATTATAGGGGGTCTTTAAGCCCAACCGTTGTACTTTAAAGGTCTTGCGTATTTGTACGAATTCAACGTGGTAGGTTTTATAAAGTTTCGATCTTGAGACAAGACAAGAACTTATTCGGCTTCTAGCCGTCACCGTGGCTCTATGAAAAGTGTTAGGTCACCCCCTGTTGCTGCCGGCACAATGTTTAGTTCCTCCTTGCAAAGGCGCAGCAGCGAGTACTTCATGTGTGCAACTCGCTGAAGAAACTCTAATAAAGTGTCAACCTTATACTATATTCTAGACTTATTCCACTTGTCCCCTAAGGATTCAGTCAGAATTGAAGGGAAGACGAGAAACGAACAGAGCTTCGTAGATCATACTTCCAAGCAGAACAACGCTTCACTTGTGCGTGCCAGCAAAATCGTAGACGGCGGGCCCTCTCTGCAGGAGGGCATTGTTTGTCATCTTTGCCAAGAAGGGCCGATGGAGAATGATACGCAGCTAGCCGAACACTTGGAACACTTGCATTTCAGTGCCTACAAGGAGAGATTTGAACGATTCCGACGTCGTGGGCTGTTGGGCGGAATTATAGACCCCATGAAAACATGTTTCCAGTGTTACAGAGTTTTTGACTCGTTTTTGGCTCTCCAGGTGAGTATGTTTAATTTTTCCTTGTGTCAATTATAAGCATTGGATCTTGAGCAACACCGTGATAGAATGCCTGATTACTATTCCAAATGCTTAGTAATCTGGTCATCTCCCGACTGCCAGTAATTTTGGAAGCAGATTTGACACAAAACATGCAATAAAACTTTGTGAGAACCGATCACAGGGTTGGTTTATTTTGAGCCTCGACATAAAGAAACACCGCGAGGTAATGCATGGTTCCCACTTTGAATCAGTCTCGAGGACACAACGTTGCCAAATACAATCTTCAATGTCAATTTGAGGCTACGTGCAAAAACGCGGATATAACTAAATTATAGTCATCACAGACTTTCATACGGCTCAATATCGAGCCGACTGAATATATCCAGCTCTGCTCTACGCATACCTCGCCATTTCGTGAAATGTGGAGTTATCTGAGTATCGATAAGTATTACTGACGATAACAAGGAGGACTGGAATGACCATTACTGTTTTTTCCGTTGCCAACCAGCCCTTGCCTAGACATACCTAAGAATTGAACCCGAGTCCAACCGACCTTGGGGTCACAGGTTCACGTCATGTCGGCTGAAATCGTGGAGATTCAGTCACCTAGGCGTGGCCTAAACCAAGCCGTTCGAGTGGAGGACGAAGTGCAGACGTTCTGCTTTGCCTAAGAGACCCAACTCGTAGCCCTTGCAGGCAGTGGCACGGCAATTAGCAATTGATAACCAGGAGGTACGATCGAGGGAGGTTAGTGCAGACTGGAGTGATCTCAGTGTCAGATTTTGCGCCCGTATTCCATCCTGCAATCATGCCAGGTCAGTGAAAGCCACTCCTTGTCTAGGCGCATCTTTTCGTCTGCTTACTTTTGAAATGTCATTTACGATAGAGTGAATGAAAGTCTGAGGCGTAAGTATGCGCGGCTCGTTCAGCATTTTGAAGTATGTATTTGCACGTGTTTACCAAGTGGTAGCGTAAATGCAGATGAGCTGAAAATTACGTAGGTGCACAGAATTCAGGCGGGAGAATACGTATAAAGTAAGCATTTTCGAAAGATATGTACGGATAAAGAGTTTATTGTCAACCACCAGTTTTCGAATTTGCTCAGGTGCACCTCAGCGTAGCACATGGTACCCTTTACCCCCTCGTCTGCGGTCTATGCCATGAACCACTGACCACTCAGGCCTTTGCAGAGTCAGGAGTCGAAGCCGAACTTGCTCAGGTCATGGAGTCTGTCATTGAGAAGGTTGACGCCAACCTCAGGGACTATGTTTCAACTCATGGCGCCTCGGCGCCTATTGATTTGGAGAAGGTCCTACCACCGGTTGACATGACGGCCACAACGGCTGCAGTGCGGCATGCTATCAACGCCGGCCTCTCGATAGCTATACAGGTGGAGGAATTGAAAGCAGTGCGCTCGCTAGTTCGTGCCGGTGAGGCGGCTTTACGTTTGCCGGCAGTCAATCTCCTCCTCGCCATGAAGGCGCATGAACGGCAGCACGTAGAAGAGTTTCGAGCACAGTACCAGCTGCAGCCGCATGTTCGCTACGGTCAGCGTGACGAATTGCTTAGGGAGCAAATTTTGTGTGCAGAGAAAAGAGGCTTACAGGCAGGCTTACTGCTGCTGGTTGACGAGCTGCAGGACCTGCGAGCAGAACGTCTGGACTGTGAACAAGAGAAGCTAGCATTCCGCGACACGAAATCTCGTCCTGAGAACTCCGTGAGTCCAGCCTATTTTCTTTACTGTGACTTCATTTCAGAATAGCCACTACTAAAAGACGTCGTTGTCCTTAGTGCCTTGTCGTTCCCTTTTCAGAAATTAAAATTAGTTCTTAAGTAGGACTTCAACCAAAAAAATGTCAAACGAAATTTGATCTGTCGCTGCTAACTGGATGCTTTTGCTGACTATTTCTGTATGGAAGGTCGGGTTGACGCTAGTTACTCTGAATGTTACCATGATTTCTATTTTGACTAACGTATGAGCCCCAAGCAGTGAAAAATCAGAATTTTGGCGCTGGGTGTGAAAGGATATTATGAGAAGTTTTTAACTGCGTATCTGTTCTAGGTGTCTCATCTTACCCCACCCGAAAATTTCGCTTCCTTTGCCACTTTGTGTTGTTGGAGGGACATGGGTCTACCTTTCACTGTTGGCTTGAGGAATAAACAGCTAGCGATTTTTTCATAAAACTTACCTGCCCTGAAAATGGACGCTACTCCTTCGCACAAGAAGATATAACAAAGGAATGTTCAAATAAATTTGGCGTTTATTAATCCGTTCAAGCTAAACCATCCACTTTAATACCCTGTTGTAGCATTCAGGCAGCAAATCTATCACTAGAGGAGAACGGAATGATGACGAGGAGGAGGAGAACCTGCCTGACAAACCATTTGGTTTCACAAACACGTTATGGAAACACTTCAAACAATGCGAAGGCCTGCGGAGAAAACTTGAGGCTGAGTGCGACGAGTGAACTGCTGGCACAGAAGAACTTCAGGATGTTTTCCGTTGCCCACATTTGTATACATTTACGGCTGCTGAAATATATAATTTATTGAATAAGTGTCCTGTGCTGCTGGGAGCCTTCGAGTGTCCCTGCGCTATTTCATCTTTATCAAGAACAATTTATTCCAACTTATTTTCGATCGTCATAGGCAACTGACAAAAAATAGCAGTAGGGATGTGAGCTTGCAAAGTCTCCAAAACTAACGATTCGGGGAGAACAGAAACCGAAGCAAGCGCTACCAGCACCAACCCCGCCTAGCGCTTTCTTACCCAGTAGGGCTGAGAGGGGTTATGGTGGGGATAGAGAGGGCCATCAGACGGGGCTATGGAGCAGCATGGGTGCGCGTGGCCTCCTCCGGCCTTTTCACGGAAAAAAAAATTTTGTAGGAGGACGTCGCCTTTCGTTCGCCTTTGGTTCCCATTTCCATATCGATTTTATCGCCGAAAATATAATCCCCACACCCCATAGCGAGGGCAGAGGAGATTGCTTGTCAACAAAGAGTCCTTTCCTACGACATAAGACAGCTGGTAGGTGATAGTAAGGAAGGATGCTGTATTGACAAATGGCAAAATATCAAACGCATAGAAGAAGTATTTACAAGTGTATGTGCGGGTATATTGGTCATGGTCAATTAAGGACATCCATTTTGGTTGCCACAGCAAGTTCTTGAAAACAAGTGGAACCGTTTGTAAGCCATATATAACACAGTCAAGATTCAAATATATAACATATAGATAAGTGTATTAAAATTCATTCAAAAAATTTCCCGCCATTTGAGTAGCTCAAACGAAGGAGAGTCGAAGCGACCATCTTGCTACCTAACCAAGAAGAAACCGTATCTTGAGTCCTCTCCCCTTGCTGTATTATGGATTTACAAGTTACGTAACCTAGCCAGAAAAGAAGGTTTAAACCCACGCGGTAGATAACTTAGGGCAAAAAGACTACGTATGTTACCTACTTTTTCGCCCTGTGTAGGGACATGTGTTAACGACTTCCAGAACCTAAACTAGCGATCTGTCATTTTCAACACAACCGCACAAATCTAGATTGAAGGTTCTAGTTTGGACCTATTAGTCCTGGTCTTAATTTTGTATTCAAAAAACTTTTTGGATTATTTTCAACTCCAGCAGAATAACTGTTAAGTTCTCCCACAAGCAGATGTAGCAGTAATATGCGTTGCACACAAAAACTTTTCCACCATGCCGAAATACATATACCGACTAGAAGCTCAAACATCTGCTTAACTGGTTTCCTACCTTTGTATGACGCAATTATGATAGTTTCACTATATCCTCCGGAGTGGCCACGTGCTTTTTGGTACAGTTCCCATTAGAAAATGTCAAAGGTTTGGCCTGTGCTTTCAGCACCTTCCTAATTCTTTTGAGTTAATCTTTAACAGGTTCGCGTGCTGGTTCGAAGTTAAGACAATTATGTCGGCAGATGCAGGGTCCAGTTTATTTTGGAAAAACAGGATCTGAACACAAATCGCTCAACACAAGTATGCGCGACATTTTCTCTCAGCAGGTACTGCAGGAAATCGCCCAGCCAAAAGACTTGTGTCGCCGGATGCAGATGAACCACCGAACTCACGATTTCGAGACAGTCGTTCTACAAGACCACGCAATGCCCAACATTAGTGCTTCTTCATGGTTTACCCATCTGTTGTCAGATCACATTATTATGCAACCCCAGGACCATCAGTATTTAATATTTTATCATTGTTTTGCGCTATACACTTACACTTACGGCGCTCATCAGTTGTCTTATATTGGCCGAAAGGACATAGATTTTCCTATTAACTGGCAGACGACTACTAACATGACGCTTCAGAAAAGCGAAATCCGGCAAGGATCTAATGTGTAGGACCACGTTCTCATTGCTATGTACTCGACTACTTATGTGATCTAGGTGGTAATGTAATACTGCGCGATAAAATCCGATCAGTTGGTTTTCAGGCCACTGCACATGCTGCCGTTAGGCTTCTGGGGTTGGGAATAGGACCATGGGATTCGTGCTGGAAAACTGGCGTTGCGAACAGGGTAAGTGTTGGGAGGGCGGCCTAAAGGTATTGACGCATTATATTAAGGTTTTGCGCTCATTCAGACTCTTCTAGGGTTGCTGCGTGGGTCGGGTTTCATTCATGGATTTATGGCCGGGGTTTGGAGTGACGGCGTAGGATTGGCTTCATGGTAAGTGGTAGGCCTATGTGAAGACGCATTTCTTTCTAAGAAATGTCTTTAGGAAATTGCTTTTGCTGCTACCAGTGTTACAAAATGAGCAATCCGAATTGTATCCGTCCATGTACGAAGGTATTCGGTGCTCAGTTGTGGGCCTGTAAGATGTCCCTAGGGCAGCGGGACTTTGAGGATATTTTGACTAGCTTTCCGATAGAGAAAAGATGGGCTTACTATGGTAGGCACCAACTGTGACAACCACATTCAGTAGAGGATGGATGTGAGGTCATCATAAAGTGGACTACGGCAGTCGGTAGGGCCGACTTATATGGCCCCCTAAGCAGGACATGTGAATAGAAATCGCTACAGTGAGGGTGGCTTTGAGCCAAATTCCAGCGAAATGAGGGTTAGATTCAAGATCAGGGTTAGGGTCTGGTTAAGAGTTACGTTTCAGGTTAGATTTAGAGCTAACTGTAATGTGAGTCGGGACCAAGTTTAGGGTTAAGGTAGGGACTAGAGTTAACTGCAGAGTTAAGGTGTAGGGTAGGGTCAGAATAAAGATCAGAGTGACGGTTCAGTTTTACATTGGGATTGTTGTTGGTGTCAGGACACGGGAATGTTTTGCCCTCTCTGGAGCCACTCGTAGGTCCACCTTTATTACTTGGGCAAGGCGTACCTATTCCTATGTCTCGTTTAGGGGGCCTGGCAGCCTGCTGAGAAATTTTGTTAAACCGTTTCTAATTGTACGTGTGTGCTATCGACACATATGTTTCTTCTTCTTTTTCTTCGCCTTCGAAAATGTGTAAATAAGAGTCAACACTGTCGTGCACGTTGAAGGACATACGCAGACGCAGCCAGTAACCTATCAGGGTCTGCAGGCCACCCAAGGATAGACGTATGCCGGGTGGCTAACGCACTGTTAAGGCGAAGTGTACACTGAACTGGCTCCCAGTTGACCGTACGGTCACTTTCTTTCCTAATCCAGCGAGCAGTCGGGTTACGTGTGTCAACAGCTCCAATCTTTTCCGACCCCACTTCAGTGAGTGCGTACGGACAGGTTACGTCACCGGAGGTGTCTCAGTTGAGCGCTACGTGCGCGTCACCTTTAGGAAGGATTCATGTGACGTATTCGACAAAATTTTACTGGTGAATTACATCTTCCAGACAACCTGTCGGGGGCAGTTGCTTGGTGATGTACAGGGGCTGGGTTTGCGAAAGTCGCAGGCTATCTGTTTTCATGTGCTGCTTTCCTGCTGTATATTCACCTACGTTCCCATTGTATGCGTTATAGATCAACTTATAGGTCCGCTTGCTTAAACATTTGCGATATTGCTTGTTGACCGTCTTTGACCAGATACGATTCTGCTATGTGCCTTTGGAAAGTTTCCCCCTAATTTGCTTTACTTCGTTCAGGAGTGCTTTCGAGCACATACCCCGCCGAATGGTGTAGGATTCCACTGATGTGGTACAGTTTATTTCCACGGAAGTCTCACACCTAATAACCCCGGCTTCTTAGAGAAAAGCCAGGTAGGTTTTCATTAGTTTCTTTAATGTCAGCCGGCTTTTATCAAACACCTCACCGCAGTCCAGATCGGTATTTCGGTCTACTCTGAGAATAGGAGGTCTAGAGTAACAACTGCCCTTTTAAAACAATCCTAATTGTCCAGATGAATCGATTTCAAGCTTTCTTGGGGTGTGACCGGTTCAGGTCGTGCTGAGTTTTTTTTACTGCGCTCATTCAAGAACCTGTAAACTATGTCCATAGTCTCAGCCTAGTAATATCTGTTCTGTATGGACCGCATCCAAAACCATGCCTACTTGGGCATGCTGGCATACCTTAACATAGACCCATCCGTATGCTGTCGTAATACTTGCAGTGCCATTGGTCTGAGGTATTGGCATAGTACCCTCGATTTGAGCAGTCCTTCTTCATTCCAATACTGCATACAGTGAGGCGAATCGATTGCCGCCTGCACTTTGGTAAACTCTGTGGGTTTGTCCGACTGCGTCCCCCCTTCTTGCGTGGTCTGCTCACATACGATCTGCAAATGAAATAATTAAAAATATTCATTCATCAGGATTGTATATCGCCGCTTTTAAAACCCTTGGGAGTGTGCACCTTCTCAATTCTGTTATCTTTCTTTTAAACTAAACATTCAACGACACGCCTGCGTTGCTTCAATTGCGTTACTGCTTCCCATGAGCATTTCATGGCCTTGTTCTGCGCCCTTGTCTTGATCGTTCATCATTTTCTCTGAACATTTTGCGGAGCGGCCTTGGCAGTGCGTTCTCGCTTCCTATTGGTTGAAAGCTTTCCCACATAATTTTTTCCCCATGCCGTACACTTTAGCGGCTCCCGCAAATTGTTCTACTTACACCTATTAATTTTTATATTACGCATTCGAATTTCACCTTTTTCAGTCTACGTTCGCTTGTTGGAATATAACTCCCTTTGCCTTCCTACATTTCCGCCTTTCCTTTGGCCTGAACTAACGCCCCACTCGTACAATCCCTATTATCACCATTCACGCATTGCAGGCGCCTAGGGTTTGCAAACTGCTAGTGGGGCTGCAGGACCAAACCCGGACTGGGGTAGCTTTATGGGGCGATGGTGCAGAGCAAGTCTGTGTTGTGACGTTTTATGGAACTCTTTCGTGCATACTGGTAACGCGGGATAGGCTAATGCATAGTACGTCTCCAATACGGATGGCGTAATGCTACGGTTCACCAGAGAGATCGTTAGGAACGTCGGGTCATTTGTGCACCGTAGCTGTGGGCTGGGAACAGTCCGCA